ACCCCTCCTTGGGTTTCCGAGGCAGTATCACTACGGAAGTAGGATTGCCCAACCTTCCTTCCGAGGAGTGGCTGGTGGGTTTGAACTGCCAGCCGTCTGGTTAGCAGGCAAGTGTCTTAGCCACTATGCTACCAGAGCTCCCAAATTTATATATAGTCATGGTATATTCCATTTTGCCTGGACATACCTGATCATTTACCTCTCTACCTATGTGTCTACCCATAGATTAATGTTTGTTGTTACTGATAATGCAATATTATGTTTGTAAAAGTGTTTATTTTTGTTGTCTGTACCTCTTGTGTACCTCTCTGTGTCTTCCTTTTCCTTAGTGTTACTGTGTTGGTCACTTGCGTTTGGTATATTGCCTTTCCCTTCACCCAAATCAATATTTTTCTCTTATCTATCTAGCAATTCCCAGCCCCCTTCCCTCCCGTTCCTGGTAACTAACAAAGTTTCCTTCCATATATAAACCTTTCCTTGACTTTCTACAGTAGTGGACTAATAACAATATTTGTCCTTCTGTGGTTGACTTATTTCACTCAGCTTAATGTTCTACAAGTTATGCAGTATTTTGTGTTTTGTGGATTCTGCATTATTCTTTAGTGTTACATTGTATGTATGTACCATACTTTGGTTATCCATTCCTCCATCTGTGTATCAGGATTTTTTAAAGTTGCCCTGGTAACTTAATGTGCAACAAATTTGGGAACCCTTGGCAGGAAAAAACATCTGGAAGTATATAGCTTAGATTGTTAATAGTAGTTAACTCTTTGGAAGAGAGTTAATAAAGGAAGCTTTTCATTTTCCACTCTGTCTTTTTGTAGCATTAGAGTTTTTGTGAGCATGTGTTAGTTCTTAGTCAATATAAAAGAGAAAGGAAAAAGCAAATTGGAAACCAGTAGGCCCCTGTTGAGAAATCAAGACCAAATAAAGCATCAGAAGTCCAACTTTCTGTACTGCCCATTCCTTTGACAATAGAGCTTTTGTACTGAAGAATCCACCTAAAGTTTTCTCTTTTCCCTCAGATTTGTGTGCCAATGTCAGTGGAATTTGAGGAGCTCCTGAAGGCTCGAGAGAATCCAAGTGAAGAGGCACAGAGTAAGTAGGGTTTAACATCCCTCTACAGCACTGACAGAAGTATAAGCTTTTGCTCTTTGAGCCCTGGAAAGCAGGGCCCCAATTAATTTTTTCTTTTTTGGTAGTGTAAATATACACAACAAAACATTCATCAGTTCAACAATTTCCCCAGGAAAATTGTTGCCAGTTTCCCTTGCTTGTTTCTTTTTGGTAATTTCTGGACTAGATTGACATCCAGAATTGGCCTTGGCCGAGATATTTGTTTTGTGCTAGACTAATTCAAATTCATTGGCCCAAAGAGAGATCTGAGGTAAGTTTACTTTGGGAATATAGGGAGGACATTTTAATGATGCACTGCCTCATGGAACAAGGAGCAAAGCTTCCATTTGAAAAGGCTAGTCCAAGAAAGTGGTCTTTAGTACCTAAATGATTGATGTTTCTGATTCCTTCAGACTTGGTGGAGTTCACAGATGAAGAGGGATATGGTCGTTACCTTGATCTCCATGACTGTTACCTCAAATACATTAATCTGAAGGCATCTGAGGTGAGGCATGGGAAAAAGGGTGGTAAGTCAGGATACTGGGCTGGGACTACTAGACGTGAAGCTGTTACAAAAGTCTCTTACATTCTCTAAGTACTATGTTAAAGAGGTGATAGACTTTCTTGGAATGAAACAATATTCAAAATGAAAGTCAGTTTTCTCCAGTGAACACACAAGGACATTATTACTTTTGTAAATATAAAAAAAGAAAGACACAAATGCATACTTTTTTTTCAACCTTTCCCTTTACCCAAGTTAATATATATCTACCCTCTAGTTAGTGGGTTGCCCTCCCTTCCCCACCCATCCCTGGTAACCAACAAAGAATATTTCTTTTTTTTGTGAAATCCTTTTCTTGACTCTTTACAATAGTGGTCTCATACAATATTTGTCATTTTGTGATTAACTTAATTTCACTCAACATAACGGCCTCTAAGTTCATCCATGTTATGAGATGTTTTGCAGTTTCATCATTGTTCTTTAACGTTGCGTAGTTTTCAGTTGTGTGTATGTACTATAGTTTGTGATCTCTTATTCTGTTGATGGGCATTTCAGTTGTTTCCATCTTCTTGCTGTTGTGAACAGTGCTGCAGTGAACATGGGTGTGTGCATATATCTATTTGTGTCATGGTTCTTCTCTAGAATATAAATCTAGTAGTGGGGTTGCAGGGTCATACGATATTTCTATTTCCAGCTTTATAAGGAAGCACCATACCATTTTCCACAGTAGTTGTGCCATTTTATAGCCCTACTAGCAATGTATGAGGATTCTAGTCTCTCCACACCCTTGCCAGCGTTTATTGTTTGGGTTTTTTTTTTTTTTAAACTTTGTCATTAGTGGTAGTGTGAGATGATATCTCATTGTTGTTTTGATATGTATCACTGTAACCAGAAGGTTGGTGGTTCAGTTCAAACCCACCAGCCATTCCACAGAAGGAAGACTGGGCTATCTATTTCTGTAAAGATTAACCACCTTGGAAACCCAAAGAGGGTTGCTATGAGTCCAAATTGACTCGATGGCAGTGGGTTTTGATTTGGGTAATGGCTAATGATTGCAAGCATTTCTTCATATGTTTGTTAGTTGCCTGAGGATATTTATTGGTGAAGTGTCTGTTCATGTCCTTCGCCCACTTTTTATTGGATTATTTGTCTTTTTGTTATTTTGTTTTCTATAAATTTTAGATATTAGCCCTTGTCTGATATGATGTTGCCAAAAGCTTTTTTCCCAGACTGTGGTGGGTTCTCTTTATTTACTTTTTGGTGAAATCTTTTGATGTACATAAGTATCTAATTTTTAGGAGGTCCCAGTCATCTATTTTGTCTTCTGATGTTTATGTGTTTTTAGTTATATTCGGCCTTATTTTTGCCTTGAATTAGGACCCCTAAGTTTGTCCATATTTTTTCTTTGATAGTCTTTAGTTTTAGGTTTTACGTTCAGGCCTTTGATCCAACTTGAGTTCATTTTTCTATATGGTATGAGATATTGGTCCTCTCTGATTTTTCTGCAGATGGATATACACCCCCCCCCACCCTCTCCGCCAAATTTTACTGTGATTTGGGTGAAAGTTTACAGAGAAAATTCATTTTCCATACAGCAGTTCCATGACATTGACTGCAGTCCCCACGATGTAACAGGTCTCTTCTTGTTTCCTCCCTATAGTTACTTCTTCCCTGTGTCCTTCTTTCCTATGCATGCCTGCCCCCAAGCTATCTCCCTGTGTAAATACTGGCCTTCTGTTCTCCCATGATTGATTGTTCTAAGGAGTGTATCTACCTAGTATAAATATTCATCCTGTATGCTTATCTGTTATTTGGCTGGAAGCCATAGGAGTGAGTTCACTTCCAGGAGATACCCAGTTTTGCCAGCATTATTTATTAAAGAGACTGTCTCTTCCCCATTTGATGAGTTTTGGCCCTTTGTCAAAGATCAGCTGTCTCTAGGTGGATGGATCAAAGATACATATCTTGATCGTTTGTTATACATACACTTTACTAGGTAAATAATAGATACAAAAACAACATCTACCAGAAAAGGACTATCTAAAATATGTGAATAAGACATTAAAAAATAATTTATTGCAAGAAGTAAAGTTTAATGATACTCTCGGAAAGGGCACAAGGAAGATAAGTTTCCCATGGAGTTGTGAGGAGATATTCTAAATGCAATGACTAAACTTTAAGCTTTCTGAGGGCAAGCCCCTGGCCTGTCTTGTTTTCTGCTATACTTGGTACAAAGATGCTCAGTAAGTGGTCGTATGAGTGAATAAATGGCACCTTTCAGGACCATTAGGATGTAATGGATGTCAGAATTCTTAACCAAGTGCCAGTGTGCAGTAAATGTTGAATAAATGTTTTTGCATTGTTTTGCAGAGTTAATTATGTGTCTTATATGCTACTTAGTCCAGTGGACTCATACCCACAATTAATACAGTAATTGAATGATGGGGTATAAGAAGACTAAAGTGGACTGAGCCTTGTTATTTGTTCGGGAATATTCTGTTTTGATCTCACTTAATGGAGATTATATTATAATTGAACCTTATGTCATCTCTTTTCAGAAGCTGGATTATATTACATACCTATCTATCTTTGACCAATTATTTGACATTCCTAAAGAAAGGAAGAATGCAGAATATAAGAGGTAGGCATTAATAGTTTCCAGGCGTCTGCTTAGATTATTTAATGTGAAGGAAGGTGTAAGGCAAAGTTATGAATTTTGTCACCTGAGAGGCATACATGATTTCCAGGTTTATTAGAGAATAGGGGTTTGGAATGACATGGTTTTCAAACATGTATAGTACTTGGCTCTAGAAAAAATGTGTGTATGTGGCATACCTATGATCTTATGCCCATACTGTTCTCAGTTTTATCTTTGGATATTGGAGTTCTCTTATTCAGAGACCTCTGTGTCTTTGGAGTTTAATAGGAGAAAATGACACATTTTCAGATTGTAACTGAAGCGAGGTGCCTAGGTCTGATGTATAAACGGGAAGTTATGTTTGTGTTGTTATGCCCATGGGTAATAATCTGCACTGGTAGCTATTTCTCTTTTCCAGCTTTGCTTACCTGAAATCTTTTATGTATGAAATTAATAGAAACTTTAGTATTTAGAATTATGTCATGAGTGTAAAAAGAGGTAGGAAAGATTAGTATTGAAATGACATAATGGGAAAAAAACAATTATGAGCTCATTTAACAAACTAGTATTGCTAGTTTAAAATACTACTAATACTAGAATTACAAATATATTCTACAGAGCATAACAGTGTATCAAAACTGGAAACCCTCCTTGTCTTCTCTTCATTGCATGTTTCTCTATAGATACCTAGAAATGCTGCTTGAGTACCTTCAGGATTACACTGATAGGGTGAAGCCCCTCCAAGATCAGAATGAACTTTTTGGAAAGATTCAAACTGAGTTTGAGAAGAAGTGGGAGAATGGTACCTTTCCTGGATGGCCGGTGAGCTTCAGTAGAGGTGTGAGTGGAGGACATGTCAGGGAACTGAACTCATTGCTTTTAATTTGAGTCTCACTTTCCCTATTAGGGGCATTAGATGTTGAACCCCTCTGTATCAGTTGTGGCCATGTATGCACTCTTTGTTCTTTGGAACAAGATTTGCCAGGGCCCACTTGCTATTGACTGGACTCAGGATTTTCACCAGCCATGTTACTACTGCTGTGTGGCTCCTACTGACCAAAACCGGATTACATTATGTGTTAGAAATCTCTACTATGTATCTTGACTCCTGGGAATAACCTTGAGTTTTACTGAAATTTCAGAGAGAGAGTGGACCATCTGAGTTTTTTGCTCTGCTCTTGTAAGATTTTGGTCCTTATTCATAAATGTGTATGAGAAAGGGCCAGTCAGCAGCTGGCAATTTAGATAATTCTCTTACCTTCATCCTAAACCTAGATTTCAATAAATGTTATGTTGTTCTTGCCAGAAAGAGACAAGCAGTGCCCTGACCCATGCTGGAGCCCATCTTGACCTCTCTGCTTTCTCCTCCTGGGAGGTATGTTTCCTATAGCCAGTACACTGAGCTTACCTGCCCATCCTTCCGCGGGACCACTTGCTGTCTTGTTTTTAGTGCCATGGTTGTATTGTAAGATACCAAGTCCTGGGACCAGGCATCTGTAAAGAATGTGGGAGATTAAAAGAAAAAAATCATATAGCTACTTTGAACACTGTATAATAATACTTCTAACTACATTAAATTGTGGTGGAGGTAATATAACAGTACCAGTATGGTTAAGTGTGAACTTGACCATAGGGTCAGTCCTTTGGAGAGTTTGAACTTACTGCTAGGAGATTGGCTATGGACTGTGTAATTCTGCTACAGCCTCAGGAACAATCACACATCAGCTGAGAAGACCTGGGTTTGCGCGTTTGTTGTTTCCAAAAATTTACTTATATGCTATTGTATATTGTCTCTTTTTTGTACAGGAGTTGGCCTCCCTGGGTCTGGACAGATTGAAATCTGCACTCTTAGCCTTAGGCCTAAAATGCGGAGGGTAGGAGACTTTTTTTTTTTTTTTTAATCATTACTGTCCCATTTACTGTCTATTTGATAGATCTCCTAAGTGGCTCTAATTTCATTCTTTTTATAACCCTACACTATACAAATGAGCACATCTGTATGATGGACTAGCCCTGTATCCTTTGCCTTCCTGTCTCCTTAGGACCCTAGAAGAGCGAGCCCAGAGACTATTTAGCACCAAAGGGAAATCCCTGGAGTCACTTGACACCTCCCTGTTTGCCAAAAATCCCAAGTCAAAGGGCACCAAGCGGTAAGTGGCTGAGGTGGCCCCTCTGTTTATGTCTTTTTATTTTATTCTTAAGCAGAATTTTTACCACAACAGAGATTTTAAAGCCAGTTTTATCATTTTTGGTTTATAGACATCCAGACCACTCTCTCTCCACTAGTGATAGTGAATACTGTCACTGTTAATATAAAACCAGGAGCAGTCCATACTCAGAAGATCAAGATGGGGATGGTCTGTAATGTTTAAATGGTGCTCTAGGTGCCTTTTGTTACTATGGTAGGTTATGGAGACTAAAAGGTTCAACAGTTTCAAAAATTATTTTTCCAAGCTTATCTTTGCTAATGACAGTTGAATGTATTCTTGATCCATGTGCTTATACAGGGCATTTTTAATGTATGTTTTTTCTAATTCTCACAACACTGAAAAGTACTTGTTAAACTGATTTTTTTCATAGGTAAGGATTCAGAAAGGATGTATTATGTATCCATTCTCTTATAAATACTTAGCAACAGGACCAGGATTTGGGCCCAGGTCTGCCTGATTCCAGAGTTCTTTCTTCTCTACCACATTTCCTTTGTAGATTATAATGATGGGAATTTAAATGGTGTTGATAAGTCTTTCACCTTCTAGAATGAGATCAAAGATGAAATTTCCATGCATTCCAAGAAATAACCTTAGTAGTTCTATCAGCAAGTCTTGAGCTGAACAGAGTATTTGTTTTCGGTGTGCTTGTAATTTTTAATGTAACTATGGAATAAATGTTCCCAGACATGGGGAGCAAGGTATTGAGTGAAAGAACCCTCAAGTAATACAGCTCCTTTCTTGTTTTCAGAGACACTGAGAGGAACAAAGACATAGCTTTCCTAGAAGCCCAGATCTATGAATATGTAGAGATTCTCGGGGTGAGTAACTGGCTCTGCTGAGGGCTGTGAATGCTAGAAGGTGGAGGAATGAGATATGAACTCAGGCGGGATATTTTCTCAGGGTTGAAAAGAGAAAAGGGATCGGCATTAAACTGGTAGAGCAGAAAATGGGGTTCTTTCAGCATCCATATCCCTTCAGTAAATCCCTGTTCTATTGTCAGCTACAATCCCAAGGTTGGCCAGTTGCCAGGGGGCCAGAGATCTCTTATGGGTCCTGGTGTGGATAATCAGCTCCTTTTTCAATGTAGTGTCCAGAAGAATGCCTGAGCTCCATATATCCAGGAGACAACCAAGAAGCAGATGCTCAGGAGGCTAATAAGAAAGTCTACTCACAGCAGCATTTTGTATTACTTATTCTGAAAAGTCATTATTTAAATGCTCAGGAATGTAAGAAACTTACTAAGGCTGTAGTGTTAGTGGTATAAAGCTGGCCATAAGCTGCTCTTTGAATATTCTTTCAGGAAGGCACTGAAGGGTAGGCTAGGGGTGGGAAAAGGCCTAGCCTGATTAAGATACTAAGATATCTTAGAGGGAAGGTAGAGGAGTAGAAGGAAAATAAACCTCTTTTAGGGAAGAGAAGATGGAAGAAAAGGCAGTGCTCGTTCAGAGGATAATAGTGTCTTGGGGAGTCCTGGAGAAGACTAGCCTTTCGGAGCATGTCTGCTTCAGCAGCACCAACTGCTCTCTCAGCCTTTCTCTTTGTGGACGCCCAGGTGGTGGTTGAGTGGTTGGCTCTGGCTTAGAAGTTTACATATCTCTGTCAGTTGCCATGCATATTTTCATGTTGCCTTTGGTTTAAGGAACACGCCTGTGATAGCTGTAAAACTAGTCACCTGTTGATTTCCTCTATTATAACTACTTTCAGTTAAAGGAGACATTAGAAATTATGGGCATTTACATACTCCACATTTGCCTAGGTGGGGCAAATAGTTAAGCAGTTGGCTGCTGCCCAGAAGTTTGGCCGTTAGAACCAGTTAATTCCAGTTTGATCCTCTAAGAATGAAACAGGGTTTCGGACCTACCCAGATGGTTTGTGCGAGAAAAGACTTGGCTCTAATAAAGATTATATCCTAGGAAACCCTATGGGGCAGTTCTATTCGTCCTGTAGGGTCAACTGGAATCAACTCAATGGCACACAACAATGTATTTTCCATAGTAAACTTGGGCTATACTAGGGTGGGTAGCCATCTGAGTTGCCAGTCCTCTGAAGATGGCTGGGAGGTTAATTTGTGCCCTTGACATGATATGTACCCACTACTGTCTTCCTTCTTTGAGAGCTTTTTGCTTTCCCTGCCAGGAGGTGGCACCATTCTCTTTGGAATTTAAATCAGTTTCAGCCAACATATCTTCCAAAAGTTCTCATCTGATAGGATTTTTGCCATTTCACCATTTATTCATATCTCAGTTTCTAGGCATTGTGCTAGATCTTTGGGTACAATAGTGAATATGACACAGCCTATTGCCCTTGAAAAGCCCATCTTCTAGTTGGGGGAGATAAGCAGAAGTAATTTGGCACATGTTATAACATAATTGAGGTTGAGTTCTATAAGTACAAAGAGGGAAAAGAAAGATTCTAAGTACAGGAAACAGCAAGTACAAACTACAGCATTATGAAAGGAAATTAAACGTTCAGGAAGTAGTGAGAAATACAGTGTGGCTGAAGTGTGCCTTGTGAAGAATGGGGTAGTCAAAAAAAAAAAATTCATGAGAGCTATGTCAGAAATTTGTCCTATACGCAGGAGGAAGCCAGAAGTTCTTTATCCAGGAGAGTGTGCCATTAGATTTATCTTTTTAAGCAGCTAATCTGGCAGGAGATTGGGAGCTGCAGTGGAATAGGAAAACTCAGGACAAGTTTGAAGGTGGTCATTTTGGTGAGGGCAATGACAGTGGAAAGGAGAAGAAAGGACAAGCTCCGGAACTATTTTAGAGACAGAATAGACGAGACTTTATTCTCTGTTCTGTGATTCTCTGTGCTGTCTGATAAGTAATTTAGGCGAATGACCTAAAACTTTTGACTTTTTCTTGTGGGATCAGAGAAGACCTACTGATAAGGGCTTCTGAAATGAAGGCAAGACTTTTCTTTTATTCTCCAAGGAAGAAAATCTTATCCTTGGCATGAGGGGTCAGCAGGGTTTGTGGGAAAACAGTAAGAAATTTCCCTTCTGATTCTGCATTGCTTTTTGTCTGACTCTCTTTCATTTCTGGACCTGCCTTAGGAACAGCGACATCTCACTCATGAAAATGTGCAACGCAAGCAGGCAAGGACAGGAGAAGAGCGAGAAGAGGAGGAGGAAGAGCAAATCAGTGAGAGTGAAAGTGAAGATGAAGAGAATGAGATCATCTACAACCCCAAAAACCTGCCCCTTGGCTGGGATGGCAAAGTAAGTCCCAGCACCACTCCTTACTGCCACCCCCTCCTCCCCCATTTGTAAAGCACTGCAACCCTTAGCAGACATTGGTCTAATACCATTTCTTATCTGATTTCTTTTAGCCCATTCCCTACTGGCTGTATAAGCTTCATGGCCTAAATATCAACTACAACTGTGAGATTTGTGGAAACTACACCTACCGAGGGCCTAAGGCCTTCCAGCGGCACTTTGCTGTAAGGAATTCAGAGCTATTTCCCTGGGAAGTGAAGTATTAACATGAGACTTTTAAGGAAGAGGATAGAGCAGCCTGAGAGTACCATGAGTGTCTAGAACGTAAGGGAATTTACGGAGGTAACAGATCGAAAGTTACGTGTATGGCATTTGACCATAGGTAACAGTGCTAGCTTTGAATAATGCCTGAGAGTTTCTGGTTCATCTATCACTCTTTTTTGAACCTAATTTGCTGCCTTTTTCGGCTGCCTAATTTCAGTTTTCTCTTGCTTGTTCTTGTACTTCTTTCTTCTGTTTTTCTTTCTACCAACATCTTAGACCAGTCTGACTCCTTGGTCATTTCTCAACCCCATCCCCATTACTTAGGACTAAGAGGATACTGACTGCATCCTCTTTGGGACTTAAATGACCTTTCCCAACAAAGGGGTTGTTGGGTGGTACTCTAGGGAATGAATTTACCCTTGTTTTGTGTCTGCCTTTGATCCTTAGTACTTGGAGGAAAATTTTATAAAACAGAAAAGACTTCGTAGTCCTAGGATTGCAAATATATGTGAACTTCGCTCTCCTTCCCTCACAGTAAATACTGCTAATTTATCCTGGCTCTTTCCTGCTGAGCTCTTGAGTGGTCTCTGAATTTTTTTCAACACTACCTTTCCAGTCAGTTGTAGTTGGTATACAGGATAAAGCCCAGGCCGTTTATCATCTCTGAGCCCAAACTATCATTACGTCAGTCTTTCCCTGCTCTCTTTCACCTCTTTTCTCATACTTGGTAAACAGACTGTCTTTACTTGTAAACATGATGGTGACCTGCCAGTAGTACATGAGGCTACTCAAGCTGATGGTGGGGACTGCTTGGACTGCACTGCATCAGGCTTTCCTGCAGCATGGAGGTGATTGGTCAGAGTTGTGTTTTCTATAATTCTGACCCAAAGGTTTTGTCGGAAAAACTGCTGGATCTAGGATCTAGGTTTGCTCAGGGAGACAAAAAATGCAGTGCCTCCTTATCTGCCTCTTGCTAGTCATAGCCAGCTGTTTACAGACATCACCTGCAAAAGCGATGCTGCCTTTAGGTGGAGTCTTTTGCATAGGGTCAGGTGAAGGTTTATGAGTGTTCAACTATTCCCATTTTACACTGTCCTTTTGCTTCTCTCTTTTCCTAGGAATGGCGTCATGCACATGGCATGAGGTGTTTGGGCATCCCAAATACTGCCCACTTTGCTAATGTGACACAGATTGAAGATGCTGTCTCCTGTAAGTCAACTCTGTTGTTTTCTAGGCCACACCAAGTGTCCGTCCTACAGCTCCTTGTCCCAGTACGTTGGTGAATCAAGCCCAAGGCAGTAGGTTGTGGGTGTGTGAAAACTAGAATAGCCATATAATTACTCATTTTTGAGGAGAATGAGTTAGTCAGTAGTATTAATTGTTCCTCCCTTGAGATGAGTCCTACGCTGAGTATAAAGTAGCAATTCTTAACCTAAGGTCTGTGAACTTCCCTGTATGTAAGATTTTGAGTGAGTGGTTATATAGGTAGTTATATTATGATGGGGTTCTGTTCCAAGTAGTCCACTGTCAGTTGGTTCTGACGTAAGGTGAGTACCTCCTTTTGCATTTTTTCAGTTTTCATTATTTTTTTTTATTGTCAGTATCGGTATCTTTATGTATTACAACATTGAACACCTGTGAATAAACATCTAAGACTACAAACATCAGTAAATTACGTGCTGCGAGATTGTATATAAAACTTTTTACTAACAATAAGATGTACCAAAAAACCCCAGATTGTCGTAAGTCTGCTTTGTTGTGACTCAAATACATTGTAAGTCCCATATATTTGCATGTATAGCTTCTGAATGTTTTTTTAACATACGAAGAACCACTGATACATAGGAAAAAATAGAAATGGTCAGTAAGCTTGTTTCTGAGGCCACAGGGCAGATACGCAAAAACAAAACAGCAGAATACCTCTTGGAGAAAGAGTAATGTGGCGTGCCTGCCAGGGAGTGTGTTAGAGCATACAGGGGTCCTGAAACCAAGGCTTCCTGTTTTCCTGACAGTGCTGGCTTATCTGCCGTTGGCATCTTTCTCACAGGCTTTTTAATTTTTTCTGGTTTATCTCTTGTCATGTTTTTACTTTCAACTAAGTTAGACTGAGTAAGAGATTTTACCATTCTACTTTGTTAAATTACACTTGTGCATGGGCTAAGAAGAATAGAAATAGAAATAAGTAGAAATAAAAATAGAAAAGATAATTTCATGTGTCTGCCTTTAGAATACATAGTATCTTTGTGTCTGGTATTTGAATAGCCAGTGTTTGTAAAGGTTTCTGTTCTGCTGAAAAGAAGTGCTTCTCTGTCCATATAGGCTCCTTTAAACTTCCTGCTGTGTTCAAGTCTTGGATTTTATACTTTTTATCTATTCATTTTTAATTTTGAGAGACGTGTTGACATTTCCTATTATAATTAACTTTTGTCCTTTCTTGTACTTCTGCCAGTTTTGCATGAATTTTGCTTTGTGTTGCTTGAGCTATACAAACTCAATATTGTATTATAACCTTATTAATCATTCCCATTTTCTTTTTGAAATTCTTTTTACCTGATGTCATTGTTTGTTCTGTTGTGATAGACCATTTCCCCATTTATCAAGATTTGAAAACAAATACTGGCTATTTTGTATCCCAGTCAATATTTGTCATTGTATAGAGGTACTAAACTGTTTTGGTTACTTTGTGCTGCTCTAACAGATAATACCACAAATGGGTAGGGTGAACAAACAGTTTGTTCTCTTACAGATTTGGAGGCTGGGAGTCTGAGTTCAAAGTGCCAGCTCTAGAGGCTGGGTGAAAGCCCCTTGATCTTGGGCTTCAGCTCTGCCTCTTACTCCTGCCCAATTGGAGCTAGAGGTCTCTCTTCACTCAGGCAGTTGCTGGCTACTGAGGCTAACAAGCCCAGGGTCGACAAAATAAATGGCACAGTCCCAGTATTATTGTACAACATGACAGGCCACTAGTTCAACACCAGAGATCGGCAGGAATCTCTTGGCAGGAATTCAACACTCGGATTGGCAGGAAACATGACAGGCTGTTAAATGAAGACTTGGCTACATGCAGGTTTCAAGCATGCCAAAAGCTGCAGACCATTCCTAAAGCTTTTCGTTATATGCAGGAAGCAGATCACATCCCTAAGGCACCTACTCAGCTTCTCCAGTAGATTCCACCATGGAGTTGATTACCAATCTCATCATGGGGAATAACTACAACCAACTGCCCAACCACTCAAAACCAGGCCCAGCAAAGTTCACACATAACCTTAACTAACCACAATTCTACTCCTTGTCAACTGGGCACCTGTACAGATCTCCTTCACTAGGTGGTCCAAGTCTTTTAGACCATCTAAATGGCAACTTCACCCCCTTAGCCGGGCAGGCCCTTTTCCTCTGCCCCTTGGACATGGCAGCCCTGCCCCCCTCACTTTTGGGCAGCAACTGTGGCTTCATCCTACTGGCCCTCATGAACAGTAACCCCACACTCCAGAACCAAGTTGGTAAACATCTGACTCTTTAAAACCTAGGAAGCTGTGATGGTTCCACCCCGAGAGGCCATAGTCCTACCCTTTGAGGCTGAGACAGTTCTGCTTCCCTTGGTCTCTCAGCATTTGCCAGTTAATGCCCGAAGGTGACCAGGAAGCTTTCTCCCCAAAAGCTTGCTTCTGCTTTGTGGGCCAGCAGGCCTGCTACTCCATCTCATGTTGGACTCTTGTACCAATTAGTGCCCAAAGGCAACCCACTCTGCTAGGAAGCCTGTACCCAGAAACATTCTTTATTTTATTTTATTTTATTTTGTGATTTGGGTGAAGATTTACAGAGAAAATTCACTTTCCATACAGCAGTTCACATACACTCTGTCTCATGACATTGACCACAGTTTACCACAATACAACAGCTCCCCTCCCACTTCCTCCCCATAGTTGCCACTTCCCTGTATCCATCCCTCCATGCACTCCTGCCCCCTGAGCTGTCTCCCTGTGCATTAGCAGCCCTTCTTTCTCCCATGATTGTTCTCTCCAAGGAGTGTATCTACCTCAGGTAAATGTTCTACTCATATGCCTGTCTTTTGTTTGGCTGGA